CAATGAAGATGAGAATATCGTTAATGTTGGCATGTATTGAGTTACAAAAGTGTCGTAGCTCAGGATACCTTTTGCTAATAGATTCAGCAAATCCTTTTTTCATTGCTCTATCTGCAGAGATTGTATGGGCAATGGGCATATTCGATTCGAATATGGACCTTTTTTTGAAGTCTACATATTGTAGACAGGGGCCGGATAATTGAGTATTGCTTTCCTGTGTTTTATTGACAACAGTGTTCAGCATAAAACAGCTATCGAATTCCAAACTTTCGTTTAAAATTCTCGTTGTGAACTCATCACAATCGTGGATAGCAAATATTTTATCCTCGTATCCCTGAATATCAGTTACTGCATAGCCTAGTACACACTTGTTTAGTGTGACAGGATGATCTTTCTGATTCTCAATTAGGATAGGTAGGCTTTGCTCAATTTGAGTACAAACTGTATTAATGAAAACCAATTCGGTTTTAGTTGTATTTTTATGAGGCAGGAATGTAGTCCCTTTTTCGAAGTATGAATTTGGTTCAGCCAAGTGTTTGTATAAGTATGTAGAGCGTGCTGGAATGAACAAGGGTTCTTTCAAGTTAATTGAGACAGTTTTTGAAACGTTAGGATATTCTTTATCGTTGTTCATCAACCCGTAGGCTATTACACCTTCTTTTGATTTGAGCTCAACTGCGGGGATATCAAAGTAGAGAGCTTTTAAGAAGAGATGACAAAAGTCTACTCCTAACAGATTAGCAGTCTTTTCTTCAGTTATCCACACTTTGTGGTTAGATGGATATTTTCCATCAGTGTCGAAACAAGATTGAATAGATGTATGGCCAAACATACGTATATCAGATCCATTATAAGTCTTTGCTTTAATTTTGGATCGGTAAATTGTCATTTTTTGACCTAATTTTTCCAATTCTTGATAAGTTGGGTAGTTTATGATACTACAAGTTGATCCTGGATCAATCATGAATTCAATTTCAAGTCCACTATTATTATTTTTGTCTCCGGTGGCAAAATGATATAAGCTAAGATATATCCTTGATTTAGGATTACTATCATCGCTTGGTTTCGGAGACTTTAATAGTTTAAAGGAAAGAAATCAGTGATAGCATCACAGTAATTGACTTCTTCCTCAACCCAGTGGGTAGTTTCAGACTGTATTTGATGCGATCTAAAATTTGGTGATTGAGATCGCGTTGAGTCTCGACTGTTATTGCTATTATAGCTTCCAGTGTTGTATGGTCGACCTCTAGGGTTACTATTGAATTGCCTATTTTCTTGGTCGTAGAACTGTTTAGCAACTTGTTCATTTTCTCTGAATTTGTTTTCTCTGGGATACCTATCATCATAGGTTTGGGGTCTTTTGTTATTGAAAGACGGTTGTGCATTAGCCTTTTGGAAATTGTTTCCGTTATAGTTATAATTATGGCGAATGCCATAGTTATTTTGGCTAGGATTTGAATTGTTAGTAGATCTGTTTTGGTTATCCCAAAACCGGTTGCTTGGGTTAGGGTTACTCTGGTTAGGGAAGTTATTTGGTCTTCGATTTCGTTTATAATCAGTTTCAAATGAAACTCTTCGTTCATTTTTTGTTGTGAGCTCTTTCCTCAACTTATTTACTTTGTCCTGAACTTGCTTTTTTGAACATCTAGATATAGAATGTCCATTCGTTCTGCAATATTCGCAAAATCGTGTACTATTAGGTCTTCCCTTGATGTCAGGGTGACGTCGTTGAAATGAAGTCTGGTCATTGATTGCACTAACTTCTTGATTCTTGATCAATTTAGTTAGTTCTTTAATTTGAGTTTCTAATGAAGTCATTTTATCCGTTGTTGACTTATTAGCAGGATCAGTAGCAACAATGAATGTTAGATCCATAGTGATTACATGATTTGTGAATTGATCCCAATTGGCATTTGGATGCTCCTTCATGTATTCATGAGCTTTTTGTTTAAGGGCTAGAGGTCTTAGTCCCTTAATTGAGAAATCGATATACTTTTGACTTCTTTGTCTGGTTTGTATAGTTTTCTCAGCATTTTGAGCAGCTTCATCAACATGAACTGTTACATCAATACTTTCGGGCCATCCTCTATCTAAAGAAGATTTAATTCTGTGGAAGTAATTCTTTATTAATTCGCCATCTTGGCGAGCTGCATTTTCAGCATCAATTCTATGTTTGAATTGATCTCGTCCGTCAGTGAATCTGTTCAGGAACAGATCTTTGAGTTGTGCCCATGTGGTAGCATTGGTTACATTATCATTGAACCATTCAAGAGATGTATCAGTTAACAATGATCCGAATAGGGATCGTTGTCTGCTATCATAGCTGCGTCGTGCATCATTATCAGCAGGTCTTTGACCTAATGAGAAAAGAATTTTGTTTTCAACTGAATTCCAAAAAGCCGTAGCATTTTGGTTCGGATCGTTTCCCGAAAATGTCATTAAAGACAAATTGGGATGGGATATTGGGGTATCAGCCATTTTATATTTAGTTTAAAACTTTAAAAAGAAAGATAGAAAAATTTATAAATTTATTTATAAAACTTAAATTTCCGATTTGGAAATTTATTACTTCTCTTTATTTGTAAGAGAACTTTCAACAATTCTCCAGTTTGAGAATTGGAATCTTTGCTGTTTATCTCTTTTTGAGACTATAGCAATTTTTGCGAATTTTTAGAAGGTGAGCCTCACTGGTCGCACCAATTTATTACGCTTAGCAAAAACTATAGACGTCGGACAAAACGCTTGCTAGGAATAAAGGGTCCTTTCTACTTTCTATCTTAGAAAGTAAATCTAAAATTCGCTGAGAAATATTTTATTAAAAAAAGAAGTTAGTATGAATTTACAGCAAGTTGCCTTTTGACTCAATATCTATTTTAACGGTGAGATTAGAGATGTTTTTTAGAGATTGGTTGGGGTGGTTGAGGAGAGTGGTGTTGGTGTTAGAAGAGATATTGTTGGGATATTAGAGAGGGAGGTAGTGGTGTTAGAAGAAAAATTGTTGGGAATGAATTCCCGTAGTTTTGAGCTTCTATTTATACTCAGATGGGGAAATCACGCCACTTTTCGTATCAAATGAGAAGTTACTTCTTAACTTCGTATTCTCTATTCGTACATTCGTATTTTACGAGAAGAAGGTTTCGTATGCTCGTATTTTACGAGAGGAATCGTTATTATTCGCATTGAACGAGAATAGTCGTTTCAATTCTCAATGCTTAAAACGTTATACGAATTATTCCAATAGCATTTCCCTTCCTTTTGCAAGGGAATAAAAACATATTTCTTTTGGTGGTGGCGGCGGCGTCACATTTTGTAAACGCAACAAAATAATTCATGTTTCTGTTTCTATTTGAAATCAGAACAAACCTCAGCGAGTGATATTTTGCGGAATGATTCTGCCTGCTGTTTCGTTTTTGAGTTAAGCCCTACTGCTAGTGAGCCCATCTAAACTTTGTAAATTTGTGAAATTTTCGATTGCTTTTTTATTTTTATTAGCCGCACTATTTCGAATAAAGTTCAAGTTTCATATATGGCATGTACTGGATTCAATATAATTTTTGCCGAACAATGATGTTATAAATTGACTGATATGTTTTCAACTAAAGATTACCCAACCGAACCTTCGGGGAAAAATTGGTGCATAAACTTGGATGCGGGGAGTACCGGAAATCAAGTCAAAGCATGTAAAAAAGTAAATTGCTTTCTGCGGTTATCTTAATGAAAAATATAAATGTATAGATATTTGAGCTTGAAAAAGATATGAATAAAGATACATAAAATCATTGATTTTCTTGTGTATATGTGTACCCGCACTGGAGTTTCATGGGATATAATCGATTGTAATGGATTATATTGGCAAAAAAATTTAACCCATTGAATCAATTTTCATGACCCATCCAAAACCATGAAATTGGATTTTTTAAGGATTATAATCGATTGCTTTCAATTTTTAAGAATTCATTATAACTGATTAATTTGAAAATATAATCGACTTCTTTAGGCAACAAAAATCCATGAAAACCACTTTTTTCTGCAGAAAACTGTTAACAGCTAGTTAAACACTTGTAACTTTTGAAATTGCAAGTTTAGAACCCGAAAAAAAACATGTTCATTCTTAAGAAACTCAAAAAAAGTTTGCCACCCTACTACCCCACGCCCTACCCCACTCCAAGTTTACCAACCCACCACTAATTTATCACTCCACCTTTTACCAACACCACCTCCCCTACCCCCACCACCACCTCATCTACACCCCCACCCCCCACAAACACACACATCCACAATTTTCGTCCCCCGTCACTCCCAAAAGCGCCCACCACCCCGCAACAGCCCGCCCACACGGTGGCGGTACTATAAACAGGGGGAGGTGATTGGAGGCCCTGAAATGCACGTTTAAGCAAGTCCCAGGTCTTTTCCCATCATATCCCTCCGCCACTCCCCCACGCCTTCAACCATTAAAAACCCCCTCATTCAAGTTAGAGGAGAAGGGGTAGTGGGCAAAGGAAATTTTTTACTATGGGGATGGTAAAAAAATAACAGTTAAATAAAATGTATGTTAAACTGCCAAGTTGAAAAACTAGAGAAACTTAAATGTATAAAATCTTATGTGAAAAATTGAAGTTTATGACTTGTATTCCGTAGCAACTGCACTAAATAGGAAGTGAGATAACTCTGCAAAATTCACCAATAACCTCTCAAAGTTTATAATGTTTATAATCCATTTCTAAAGACAAAAAACATAATTCCCATAATATGAAAATGAAAAGGATATATGCTTAATGAAAACGTATCTTCCCATAATTTGTTATTTGCTAAATTAAGTCACAATAAAGAGAAGATTATTATACAAAAATTGCTAGCTTTGTGAACTTTTAAGGAGAATCGAACCAAATTGGCAGTATTTAGAGGCTCCAAATGGAGTTACTAGACCCCAATTAGTGAATCTAAATAAGTCTGTGACTTAATCTGCTCTGCGAATGAAATGAACTTAATTGTATTTCCAGGTCAAAAACCGAGACTTGTTCGGGTCCAGTCACGAGATAGGGGCGGTGAGGTTTGGGGTGGAGCCGGACAGTGAGAAGGCGGAGAGACAGTGGGAGGCGATGATCACACACCTGCGCAAGCCACAGACACAGTGGCACTACCTGCTACCCTCCCAGAATTAGAACATATGAACAAAGAAAAGAAAAAGAAGAAAACATTTTAAAATTATATAGGAGAGAGTAAGTCAGCAACTCATTCATAGCTACAATAGAAGCATACTCTTTTTGCAAAATGTAGACAAGGAGATCAGCTATTGGACTCATTATAAATTTGAATCTTGCAAACGGTGAAATTTTGTAAATGAAAACATGAAAATTTAAAAACGAAATGATATTATAAATAATGATTGTAAGCAATATACAGATAATTGCGTTTATTGTTTATCAAAGTCTGGCGACAACTCGCAGCAAGCCGGAACCCGCCCGCATTCAAGAAAAGTGAAAACAAATCGATTATGATGGATTTTCGTGGTCTAAACTGTTGTAAATATAATCGATTCCCATGTTACGTTGTAAATATAATCGATTCCCAAAACAAAATTGGACTAAAAATTGATTTAAATCTTTTTTTTCTCGCAAAGACAAAACGCATTATAATTCATTTGGAATCCATTATAATGGATATTGTAATAAGTAGGAAATCACATTAGAATGTATTTTTTTCCACTTTATTTTCGTTTCGCGCGTCGTCAAAATTTTGCTAGAACTTCTGCATTTATCAAGTGAGTTATGCTGAAACTTTGCAAAGCGAGTGCACGGCCTAATCCATTTCTAAACCAAAACTCAAATTGCAAAAAGATTCCGTTTAGCTCCCAGCTCCCCCCTTCAATCCCCCTTACGTTTGTCCCTTTGCTCGCCTCCCCCCAGAACCCCCCACCTGAACACCCCCTCCCCCACCCGAGCAACCCCCCCCCCCCACTTGAACCCACCCCTACCTCAATTGAACTCCCCCCCCCCCCACTGAACCCCCCTGAACACCCCCAACCTGAACACCCCCCACATGAACCCATCGACCCTCCACCACCTGAACCCACTCCCCTCCCTCCCCCACCTGAACCCAACCCCCCTCCCCCTGAACCCACCACCACTTGATCACCTGAGACATCCTCCCGCCTGAACCAAATCCCTCAGCCTGAAACACCACCCCAATCCCCCTCCCCTCACCGGAACGTTGGGGGGGGGGGGGAGGGGGGGTTGTTGTAAATGGGTAAAATGGGCAAACGCTAGGGGGGGGGGGGGTAATGGAAGGGGGATTAGTCCACCTCCAACTTTACCCCCCCCCCCCAAAGTTTCTGATAATTTAACAAAATTGTTGGAGAAAAAAATTCAGTTTTTGAGTAACATAAAAAAACAATATCAAAGTTAGGCGGAAAAAAATTATTACCAACATAACTAATTTTAGTTTAAAACGTAGAAAAGACTTTATGTGTGTTGAAATTCGCATCTCAGTAAAGTGGTGAAAAACGTATTACCAGGGGCGGATTTAGGGGGGGCGGGGGTTGGGGCGGACGCCCCTCCTCAGGGATTCGACCCCCTGCCGACCCAAAGGGTCCCCCTTTGATACTTTTTTAGAAATCCATTTTTGGCCGACCGACCCTAAAATTTTTCTAAAGGCGCCTTTGGCGCCAATATATGCTAACTTTGAGGAGGAGCGCGCGCCAAAAAAAACGCGACTTTTTTGTCAAAATTTTTCAAAAAACGCCCAAAAACGGTTTTTTTGACTGTTTTTTTTCAAAAGTTTGCCTGCGGCGCAGAAATTTTTGCCAAAATAGGGGCAAAACAGTGCTTTGGAAGAGCTCGAAAAATCAATTTGGTCGACCTAAAAAAAAGGTCATCAAAATTTTCGAATTTTTTTGAAAATCCGCCCCCCCCCCCCTCGAGAAAATCCTAGATCCGCCCCTGCCTATTACAATTTAACTTCATTGTCAAAGTCCACAAAACTGAAAAAAAAAAATCGATTATAATGGATCAAAAAAAAAGTTTTTTTGCCTCGAAAAATAGTAATATTATAATCCACTTTTAATTGACTTTAATCAATTTGTTTTCACTTTTGTGGACACTGACAAAGACACTCAATTTTAATCGATTTTCATTCATGGGCTCCAATGCGGGCGCCGCAAAAATGGACAATACTGCTAGTATCAGGGCAGCTCTTTAAACATTGCAACTGTCCTTTAGTTTTATTACTATGAAAAGGTACATTTACAAAAAAATTCGGCTTAGGAAAATAAAAGAGGCATCATCCTGTGTCATCTCTATGAGCAAAATCTATTTGTCTACTTTTTAAACTAAGATCATAAAGACAAAAGCACCCCATAAATTTCTTCAAATATCACAAAAAAACAAAAAGAGAAAAAATCTGTTTGTTTTGGTGTTGCCTAACAATGAAAATAAAACTAGCAAAAAGACTGTAACAAGGAGTGGAGTTCACCATAACATACTTAGAAAATATTCGTTGTCACAAATATGTCTCTTATTTTATTTTAAAAAAACAAGCCCAAATATTCATTGGTAGTTGTAAACGCTTCAAGAAGAAAGCTTTTAATCTAACTGTAAGAACTTATTATGCAAAATACAAACCCTGCTTTCGTTTTTTTGCTCTTGTAGTAAGCATATTTTGGCTGCGAAGTTTTTTTTTTGTTTTGCCTGTTTTGATAGTAACTGTTATCTCCTGTTCTTTTATGTATTTATATTTCCACAAGTTTTTTATTTCCACAAGATCGTCTTAGAATTCTATTCATGAATTTAAAACGCTCATATACATGTAACTCTCGAACCAAAAAGAGTTTATGTTTGTCTTGAATATATTTCAGACTTTCCCACTTTTAATTTTAAAAAAGTTCCTCCACAGGAGTCTTTGCTGGCTTTATAATCATTTCATGTCTGTCTCATTAGCTGTGCCATAGATCAGTACACTATATTGACAAGTTGGTTGGTTATCTGTGCCGTAGATCAGTACAATATATTTGTACATATTGAGCAGTGTAGATATGCTAAAAAAAAATGTGAGTTAATAGATCAGCGATCAAGATTTAGCTGCCACTTTCCAAGTTTTATATATGTGTCTTTTGAAATTTAATTTTTCATCAATTATTAGACCTAAGTACTTATGGGATCTATTATTAGAGAATTTTCTCCTGCTAAAATGTAAGAGGACTGTTTTTTCCTTGTTTCTGATACGTTTATTTTTCGGAAACCATTTTGCAACTTAGCTTGTATCAGAATTCACCTGCTGCTGGTTTCTTGTTTTAGTTGTTGCATACATGCTCAATCATCAGCAAACAGTACAACTTTATTATGCCTAGAAACAGTTGGCAAACCAATTATATACAGCAACAACAACAAAGGACTTAGGACTGAACCTTGTGGTACACCATATTAGTTTATTTTAGTGTCTGAACTTGAATTGTTATAACTAACGTACTGTTTACGTTTTTCAAGGTATGGCCTCAAAAGACTAATAATTTTACATCGTATATCGTATGTTTTGCATTTTTACACTAAGAATTTGTGATAAATTGTGTCGAACGTTTTTGTATGATCTAACAGCGTACACACGGAGTCAAGATTATCTTCAAAGTTCTCCACTACTTGTTCACTGAGTTCTAAGGTAGCCTCAACTGTGCTTTTTTTCTTATTTCTGAATCCATACTGACATGCTGTTAATACATCATATTTGTTCAAAAACTTTCTCAAGCGAACATTAATTATTTTTTCTAAATTTTTGCCCATAATTGGTAGAATAATTATGGGTCTGTACTTACCACAATCTGATAATGTGCCATTTTATGAATTGCTTGAACTTTCGCAACCTTAAAAACTGAAAGATAATAAGACAACTCTACACTTTGATTAAAAAAGCAACTATGTAGCTCATTTATAACCGGACTTAACTTTTTTGTTAGGTTGTTACTTTGGTTGTAACTATCAAGGCTGTTTGTTTCTTCTGTGTGTTAATTACTTCATAAACTTCTTGGGGTGAAATGGTTTAAAAAAACTCTGTGTTTTCAGTTTCTACGACGTTTTTAAAATTTTGTGGTGTTGTATTAGTTTTGATTAGCTTCTGACCAATTTCAATTAAAAAAGTTAAATTCTTTTGCACTCGGAGAGTCGCAATCTGATTCAAGCAATAACTTTTTTTTACTTGAATAGGTTTAATTTATACTTTTAAAATTCATTTGATTTTTGTTATTCTGTTCAACTATAAAAATGCAACTACAGTTTTTAAACTAAATTAGACACTTGTGATTTCGGTTGCTGAAAATTGCAACCAAGAAAAGATATCAACTTTTGGACAAGCTTAGTTGCTGAAAGTGCTAATTGACAAGTTAAGAGAAAAAATAGCAATCTATGAATTGAGATATACGGCTTTAAGAACTATGCTTCAATTGCAAAGGTTCTATTTTTTAAACTAGTTGCTGAGAATTGCTACGTGTCTCAATTTCAAGCGTTCTTCACCCTTTTCGCTTTTCTTGTCGACTATTGCGTTTATTAGATCATTGACTTGTTATAAAACTGAGATTTATTACCGTGTTTTTTGAACATTGTTTTTAGGCATGCATCTTATTTAAAATCATATTGAACAAAAAAAATAGGAAGAACTTGTTCGCCTCTATGCGAACTGTTGAAGTTAAATTTTGTCTATGGGTGAGAAAATATGGAAAAATTTTTTTTAAAGAAAACGACAATTTTTTGAAAGTAAATAGATTATTCTGTAGAGCTAACGCTTTTGCTCATTCAACCGATGTAAACCTAATAGCTACATCAAGGTTTTTAACTCAAAACTTCAGTGTAGAGTGACTGCTACCATCTCCACAACTAGAGTTCATAAGAATTTACATGCTTCACTTTTCCACGTTCAAATTTTCTTTTTTTTCTACTTCGGGAGAAAAACTAGCGCACATTTTCACGATTCTCATCTCATTTTTCATTTCGGATGCACCGCATTTAGAGCTGGTCGCCCTATTAGCCAAGGGTTGTTTCTTGATAGCATTTCCATAGTTTATAAATCGATCACATGGTCAATTTTTTCATAACGAACTTGCCCACGGTGATTTTTGCACCAAAACGACATGCTGCACTTCCAGGAAGATCTAATGAAACCATTTTTGACTGCCTCATGGATTATTTTTGATTCAATAGGAGTGAGACGCTCGTTCATGCATGTTTTCTTCCTGTTCAATTTGTTGCTTTTATTATTCAAATTTGTTGTAACTTGGAAGTTGCTAATTTGTCTTCCAACCTAACAAACTTCACAGAAATCGTAGCGGTCTATGCATGAGATTGATTTGCGGTACCCGGCATAATGTGGTACGCACTCAA